CTCCAGTATTCCACCGAGCGCGCATAAGCTTCGCGATTTATGGATACGCCGCTGCCTCCCTCCTCTATGAGCGCATTCCGCATGATCCTGGAGAAGAAGCACATCAGATTTCGCTTTTGCAAAATTTTTTGGAAGCATTTGTGTCGCCTTTGCTTGTCGACACTTGAAAATATGGCTGTAGGATTGCACGTGGAACGGGATGGCGTCACACGGAGCGACGGTACAGCACTACGGTCTATTCAATAAGAACAGTCGAAATTTTCAGGGTAGCGAGGCCCGTGAGACGTTCCCGTTGTGCCGTAGTCGCTTACGTTATAGGGCTCATAGGAAGCTCAAACGGTTCATCTTGTGCCTTAATAGACACTATGAACCACTCAGGATTGGTTGGATCTGAAGAGAAAAGCAAGCAAGCTTTCCGCGACTGCCTAGCTGTCGCTACGCAGGGCAACGGGACACCAATGCGTAGGACAGAGCTGCATTTAGGGAAACCCACCGATTAGGACTTCACTCTTTGTCATTGCAGCATTCTCTTTCGCAATTTGCTCCCGAGAGTACAGAATTAGATCTATAAGTACACGCAGTGCGCACTGTATTACCACATGTAATATGCTTGTCCCCCAGCACCTCGCGAAGTGCATGCAAGGCGACCAGTTAGCGCCAATTATTCGTGCATCTCATGGCTATGAAGGTCAGCCGTACCAAGGTATTTAGCACGATGCAATTGATGTCGAACGACGGACGCTGGCAGCCACCGGGCCAAAACAGGAAGTTCTTCTGGCCTCCGAGCCAAGTACCCCGTGCTAAACCAAGCAGTTACCACAGTGCACGAGTGAAAACCATAAGAAGTTTCATGACTGCGGTTGAGGATACATAGTAGTCCATATAAAGGAACTTTGCTAGCATTGGCCGCCCAGCTGTTTCGTTTTAGGCCACTTACCGGATATGGCCTACATTGTCCTTTGTTATTGGGATCGCAGAGGCTCTAGCTTCTGTGAAGTTTTCAATAAATATGTGCTTGCAAAAAGGGGCGTAGCCGTTTACTAGGGTCAAGCTTTTTCGCTTCAAGATCTCGTGAAGCTAAAGCAGAAAAGACATCATACGAACAGGCGTGTCTTCTGTCCAGCTTCAGGGATGCAAGACCAGGTATATTTCCACTGCCTTAAAGTATGCTCTGTGATTCACCTGCTTCATAAACATATCTTTACCCATTGGAATTACTGTTCCCGGGTACTTCGGATCATCGAATTGCCTAAAGCAAAAAGGCTCTGCGAAAACCACACAAGAGGCCAATGCACGTACTCTCACGACAAAAAAAGAGCGGATAATCAAATGATCAAACATGACCCACACATGCATTCACAAGCTCTGTATAATTGTACTCCCATACAATAATATCACCTAGGCCGACGGATAATATTCCCTCCGAAGGTCTATGTGCAGTTGCAGCGCCTTCTGAAGCCATTCCCACTGAATGACTGAATCCTCTTTTCCTGCTGAAATTGATCCCCGTCTCTAGAATTGTTGCTCGTGCAGTGAGCAGAATGAAGCTCGCAGCTCTTCCCAGTCTAGCAATGTGCATGCCGTGCAACACCGCTGCAGCGATTCTTGGATGTGGACGTCCTATGCAGAGAAGGACGTTTCAACTGGAGGAAAACAATTTGGAACTCAGGGGCGTATGTACGGATGGTGAGGGTGAGCAGAAAAAACATTGCCTGGTGGGCTCTTCAACTAGCAGTGTTGCCACAGAGAGAAATGTAGAGGAACTGCTACTAATGCAGACAGAGTTCGTGTAAAAAAAGAGCTGACGCCAACATTATTCAGTACTACCTCTACTTTACCTATGTCTAGCTGAATACAAGCGCTTTATAACTGCACTTGTGGGATTTTGGGGCTTTGGGTTCCTTAGGGAGGTGGACACTCCCCGCACCGGCAGCTTCTACGTGCATGCCATTCCCCCAGTGCTCCATTTTGAGCAGAAACAATCGGAAATAAACTCCTTTCCGTTGACGTTCCTTTTGTGGGTGCATCGTCGACGGATTTTTGTGTTGCCACAATGGTGTCAGCATCCGGTGCTGCTCAGGCCCGTAGCCACATGTCGCGAGGGAAGAAGGCTGCCACAGCAGGCAAAGCAACTAAGATCAAATTCGTTATCGACTGCCAGAAGCCTGTTGAAGATAATATTCTTGAGGCCAAGGGTTTGGTAAGTCGTACAATGCTTAATGGGGCGGACTTTAGGTTGCGATGACGGCGTTAGTAAGCCTTGGAGCTCTTTCCAGTTTGCTTTCTCTGTACTTTTTGACATCGTTTAGAGTTTTTTGAAATATTCGAGTGTCAAAGTAGGGTTATGAGGTGAGACCTTACGAGTGCTTACCTTACCCCACACCCATCGGGCGGTGTGGTTCCGTAACACACAGCCTGTGTGAACATCCCCGTCAAGAGGGCCTAAATCTTCGGCAATGCATGCACTAGTGGATGTATGGAGTCTGGACGAATTGGTGCATCCCGCGCACGGTAAATTGTGAAACTGTGCCTGTAGCGTTTGTTCCGAAGTAATGGGGATCGTATTTTGCTGGTGTATATACGGTGCCGTTGGCCGTGAGAACAGTAGGCGACAGGTTTTGGGGCTGTTTTCTCTTAGGAGAAGTTCTTACAGAGCCGCATTAAAGTTGCGGGGAAGCTGAACAACTTTGGAGAAAAAATTGAGGTTTTCCGGGAGAAGGCAAAAGTATGTGTCACCGCCGAGTTGCCCTTTTCAAAGCGTTACCTCAAGGTACGGCCACAATTGTTGTACTTGTGCTCAGCACACTTGGTTAGTATGAATGGGAAGGCTGGTCAACCAAGAAGCAGCTTAATTAAGAACACGAAGCCTTACTGTAGCACGCGCCGACCATTCCTAGTAATTATTGCTACAATGTGCTTCTGCACAAGACGAAATCCTTAGTCTGTACTTTGTGCGCAGTACCTCGTGAAGAAGTATTTGAAGAAGCAAATGCTGCGCGACTTCCTGCGAGTTGTTGCAAATAACAAGACTTCGTACGAGCTGAGGTACTTCCAGATGCCCCAGGACGACGAGGAGGCGGCATGAACTAAGCTCACCAACGTGTCCAGAAGCAGTCTTCTTGTTTACAAATAAAACAAATTTCTTTGTTTATTGCCTGCCCTAACTTGGCTTTTCGCAGACAGGTGAAAGCTAATTTGGGAACGGCTACGCTGCAGCAGGTAGTAGATATGCCAGTAGCAGAGAAGCGCATGCGTAGTGCAGTGGGCAAAGCGTGTAGGCAGAAGAAAGTTAAATTCTGGACTCATGTTTTGTTACTGGAGCCGCGCCATGGGAGCGTTCCCGCTGTAGCATGTTCTCTGCGGAGCAGCCAGTGCTGCTACCGACGAACTTTAGACTCCCGTCTAGAGTCTAGGGGACATTCGTCAGCACTGACTGGGGGACAACGCACAAAGCAGCCGCATGAAAAACCTGGCAGTTCACAGTGCTCTCGCGGGCACGGCTGTGCGGGGGCAGGCGGGAGAGGGAAGGAAGAGAGGCCCGTGACTGCCACCCATGACCTCACCGTGGCAACGTTGGTCAACCTGCCTGTCTCACACCTTTCGAAACATTGCTGCGTCCATGGCCGTATAGAGCCTGGTGCCTCGCCTCCAAGCACCAAGGGGATTTCTGGCTGTTGCGCAGCGTGCGCTGTGAAGTGGTTTTGTTCGGTGAGCACATGTTCACCAACGGCTCCACGACCGTGCACCACACAGCAATCTCTCGGCAGAATGCTTCGGGGCATTTTGCAGGCGTGCTGATAACCGGAGATGACGCTAGTTGGCATTTCGAGCTGGCACGTGCTCGATGGCAAGTCTTCGACGGCGGGCAATTTAACAATTGGCGAAGAAAGCAAGGAGGAATAATTTAGTATTTAATGTTTTTGAGTCTCAAATTGAAAAAAAGAAGGTAGAATTCCCAGTTGCCGGGCTCCGACGCTGAATGGCAACGTTGAAAAGGGCATGACAGTTCGACCTGCAGAAGTGAGCAGTTTCGAAGATTCCGAAGAACCAGCACCTTTCGGAAAGTACAAATAATAACCTACTGAAGCAATTCACTTTACTGGATGCAATCATGTGTATATTTCCAGGAATGTAGTAGCCAGCATCTGGGTTGCTCGAACAGTTTGTACACAGCAGCAGCATGATGATCATATTGAGCTGGGCAAGGATGCGCTGAGTTGCTTATTCCTAGTCTGAGTCCCAGTACATTCAACTAGTAGTACCGATGCTTTTTACAATTTCTGTATGTGCCGCTTTGGCTTCAGTCGACCTCACTTAGAGGGACCATGTCGCTTTTCAACTGGAGGTTGTCCTTCCGGTTCACCAAGACAGCGATATGTGTTCAGTGTATTCTCCGTAAGAATCCCGTTTCCCTGAACATTTCTTATGTTTTTCCTTTTCTGCACACCTGAATCACTTTTCAGAACCCATATTTATCTCTTGGTCACTTCTACGTGTCGAAGCTTTCGAGACACGGAACCTCGGTAGTTCTCCCTTAAACTCACCTCTAAATGATGGACCCCACGAGAAAAATGGCAAGGGAGTTATCTTTTTAGCTTCAAAATGTAGTTAACAAACTGAAACACGCTATAAGACCAGGTTCTGCCAACTTTTTCCCGGCCGTCCAGGAGCAGGCTTTCACGCCGTCTTCACTGTCATTCAAGCTGGTAAACATGCATCATATTACTCAACAGATGGGCAGGCCACCACTCAGTGCATTCAAAATGTAGCCTGCGTGGCTTCTACGGGCCGCTGATGCTATTCCAAACACGACAGCCTTGCCCACCTTACTGTCCGACGAGAGGTTGCACGATGGACTACGGGCGACGCAAAAGATAGTGCCTAAAGGCTCTCAGAACATCGCTCCTCCACTGTCATTCCTAGTAGATTCCGTGACACAACCACTGGTTTCGGGTCTCCACAAGAGGCAGCCTCATGACTCGCACACCTCTGAAGCCAATATGTTTGCCGAAGAGCCAACGCAGCTTCAAACGGAGGAAGACGACCTAAAGAGGGGAGATGGATTCATCGTTGGAGCCGCTTATAGTGGCCCAGATTTCCAGCCGCGCGAGCCTGTTGCGATAGGGGAGCCTCCACTATTTGCAATGCAGAATGTCTCCATCTTGCCGCCGCAGGCCCGGAAGCCAATTAGTTCAGCTTACCGCCAATTCACTTCACAGATGCAGAAAGCTGCAGTGGAGTACTGCACAACGAACAACTTGAACTGCAGCGAACAGCATGCCCTCCAGACAGCTATTTCTGTGGCACTGAGGACATCTCCGGCAGCCTCCATGTTCAGGCAGATCTCAGCATCTCTCAGTGCAGTTGAGGTAATGATGCATTATATACTGCCTCGAAAGCTGAACTGGAGAGAGTAAGAATAACACTTTAGGGGGCCGTGGCAAGTGCTCTGCGGCCTCTAGGCTGGCCAGGGGACCAGAAAGCGGTGCCGAAGCCGCCGCCCAAGCCGCCCGTTCAAACAGCAGAAGCCGTGCAGTTTGCCTTTTCACTTGTGGGAACTTCAGTGGCTCTCCTGAGGAGCTTTGTTCGCGTCACGAAAAGCCCGCAGCCACTAATACCCCTGGACACGTAAGTGTGGATGAAAAATAAAAATGTATGGGCTGCGGCAACGTGGGGTTCTTCAGGCAGCTGCATGATCATCACCGCAGTATTCTGTCGAACCTATTGTACAGTGGCCGGCAAACAGAGGGCTGCTCAATGATTGCGCCGCTGAAACTGGCCTCAAATTGTAGAAGCTTCATTATTGAGGTTCCTGCGCGCACAGACAACTGCGTAGGAAGCGGCCTTGCTCAAGGTAGTCTGCAAAAGAAGATGCGTGGCGATAATACTGAAAAGTAATCTTTGAACAGGCGGCGCTCTCACTTCGTTAACGGTGCATGGCTTTGAGCTGTCTTGCCTCTCCTCACTGCGGTGCTCTCAGCAGTACATTGCCCATGAACCATACAACCTCGACGGCGGATACCACTTGACGTCGAGATTGGGGAGCTCTCTTTCGTTCGAGAAAATAATACCTACGATTGATCCTCTGGACAGGTCGTCTAATATGCTGTATCTGTACAAATCCGAAGAAGGCAAGACTGCCAGCGAGATACTGAAGTCTTCACACGTGGCAGTCAGCGCCATCCCGGTATAAGCTTGGCACTTCCTTCTTCAACACTGCAGTTATGCGAGTCTCTAAAATGCAGCACGAGGATGACGTTCCCGGGCCGTTCGCTTACTTGCCCATGTCGTCATTCGGCTTTCCTCCTTACCAACGCAATGCGCCACCGGAGTGTCAGAACGTCGATGAGTTTCCCTTTCCTTACTGCCTTCTACACGGAGTATCTCACTGGCGCTTCACTGAAGTCCGTCCGAATTCGTCTCGTCACAAGACGAAGTACTTCCCAGCCATTGTTTCAGTAAGTTGTAACGATGCACTCAAGACTAGTCCCCGTGTGTACATGAGCGCGAGCCAGTTCCATGCGGACTGTGGAGTTTAACAGGCATCTGTTACATTGGCCTGGGGCTGATTGCTATTCGTGATGCCTCTTGGTGCTTGACTAATCATGACCTGTCGCTGGCCCGCTTTGTTGCATTCGTAGGGATTGCATCCTGTCTGTATGCAATTTGTCTATAGCGGGATTCGCTGCACAAAAGGCGACTGCCCATACCCAAGTTGATCCCTTCGCAGTAACACAGACTCGGCTTCGACATATCCGCATACTCTGCGTGGTCCTAACTGCGTTTCTCTAGCCCTGCGCAGTCTAGAAAAGAATGCCGTCGTGGGTTGTCCTTGTTCTGTAAACTACGGGACCTATCACCCAACTAAAAACAGACAAGAGAAGAAAGACGCTCCGGCAAAAAATGCAAAACTTGGTGGCGAAGGCAGTTGTCCCAGCTCCTCAATTACTCTTCAATGACTGCCTGACCCTGCCAAATTTGGCATTGAAATCAATGAGTCCGGCCTCGATGGCCTTCTCGTCCCAATAGGCAACTGGCCGTTTGGTGCTTACCAAAAAATTGACTTTGCGGACATCAAGGCCCACGCAAAAGCACAAGTATGCGCCGACTGCTGCAACACTCCTACCCACACCAGCATTGCAGTGAACGTAAACGCTGTGGCCGTTCTGTTCACAACCACGCAAGAAAGCACAAACAAGAAACTTCGTGAGGGGAGGAACAAAACATACGCATTCGGCACTCTGCCTGGTCCTTTCTCCCGTGAGGTGGGTTGGGGGAAGCACACTACCTGAATCAGGGCATCTAATATCAGGGCACACTGGGCCACTGCAAGCTTCCGGCAAGCATCACTCATGTCCTCTGTGGGCATCCACACGTAACGGAGACCGGCGGACTCGTACAGCTGGCCCGCTGCCTCCGGCGTTCGCTTGCTAGCCAGCGGATCAGGGAAATTTGTCCTGCTCACCAGAAATGGATGACAGTGGGGGAAAAAATAGTAACTGCAGGAATACATATAACGACGAGCACACAGAGTCTATCTCAGTTATCTGAAAGCGCCGCCAAGCGTGCTCCCTCCGCTGCCTGCCTTCGAAAAACGTGCTCCACTGCCGCCACCGTTTGGCTTACTTCATGTCATCTGCAGTTTGCATATTGAAAACCACTGTCACTTTCAACTCCTCCTTTAGCTGCCTGATGTGCTTGAGCTGACGAGGGCAAGATCCCACGTAAAGATTTGGGAGAATGCGCGAGTAATGCATACGTCCCTCTGCCTTCACAGTGTTGTAGAAAAATGTCGTGTGGCCGTGCTCACTAGCATCTCCAGCTGCAAACATACCACGCAAGCAACTGCATCTGCGCCGATCCACCACTCCATAGTCTAGCTGAACAGGACAAAAAAGCCCAGAGGCTCCCAAAGCAAACTGCTGGATGCCTGCGTGTAGCGTGAGTTGTGTCCACTGTGACGCGCAAGGACCAAGTGCCGTATGGGTCAGCCGTCGTTTCAGCACAGGTCCGCTTAGCAACCACACGGACTATCTTCTTTGTAAGTATGCTAGGTGCTTGTACACTCCGCATTTGTAGACCACCCACTCCTCGGATCCTCAAACCTGGCAACCTTGCAGAGATACAGTACCTCCAGACTCCCACTTTCAGATTCATCCACCACAATGTCCATCGGATCGAAGAAGAACTTCCTGTTAGTGCCTGGGCCAGACCCCTCCCAGATAACATGTAGGCTATTGGACGGCGGCTCTGCATGCTGCGCGGGAGCGGGAGGAAACAACCAAGTACGCCATGTGCAGGAAGGGCTGCCGTAGGCAGAACGCTGAAACGACTCCCCAGGTGTATCTGGCACGTAGGGAGCCACAGGCTTTTGTGAGTTCCACAAAATAAATTTGTATTCGAACTGCACTCGCCTTAGAGGGTGCTGCTCAAGAATTGCAACAATACGGGGTGACCTGTGGTCAACACGGCAGTAAGCCGCCGCTGCAATACTTGATGCCTCGTCGTTTGTTGAAGAAAGTGTATCTGGGAGGAACCCCGAGCGCTGCGTCCCTGCCGATGCGGAGTCTGTCCAGGTCATAGCTGCTATTAGCTTATCTGAAAACGTGTCCACAGCACCTTCCGTGCCGTTGCATCGATGGCTGCTGCACCCTGCTGCCCCTGCAGCGGACTTCCCACAGCGCTCCAGGCTTTTCTCGTTGACCTCCACGTCTGCGAACCACAGGCTGGGCTCAATCCCACCTTCAGAAGGCGAGCTGTGTGGCAATAACGGGAGACATTTGCAAGGATCCCAACGACCTAAGAAGTCGGGGCCCCCCGAAACTCCTAGTTGAGAACCAGGCGGAACAAATGCTACGCAGCTAAAACGTAGGCGCATTATGCTGGTTGCTATGGTGGAAAGCCGGTGCAGCGAGAGCCCTGGTAGACCGTCAGCGAACGAATAGCACTCGTCTCGCTAGAGCAGGGTTCCGCGCCGCCTTGGGCTTTCGGGCACTGCACTTTGTAAGTGTGACTTCAGGTGAAAGTCTAAATATGCTTTATGGGAGGCTAAGTCACATACAGCTACGCCGCCTTCCCTTCATGGTGGAATGGCGCACGTACAGGTGTGAGCGAGCTGGACGCTTTAACGGCCTTCGAATAATGAGTGGGCTCTCCCAACTGCTGCGACAAAACCTTAATGATAATTCTTGATTAGTTCATCAACAGCAGAAAAAACGCAAATGCATCGTTCGCCATTCTCCTAGACCGCCGCGACAGCCCTGCGAACACCTGGGCCGTCCACAACAGATTCAAGCTTCGTCACACCACATGAGGTGAACGGATGCTTTCACTTCGTCCTGATTCTTAATATAGCTTCAAGCACCCTTTACTAACACTGATATTTGTTGTCATGCCACCATGGTCACTTCTTCCATGCAATCTGGAAGCTGTCATATGGTAGTCAATGCACGATCCAGATTCAAGGTGAGGCGCTGATCAGACAGTGCTGTCTCTGACGAACGGCACACGGTGTGAGCTCTAAATATATTTGTTTCAAATTCTCGTTTCCAAAGTTGTGGCATAATGACGCCGAAGCAACCAATTCACCTTGGCAATGTAGATGGCTAATCATGCTGGATTTCAATGCGCTACACTCACTGGTATGTGAATCTGGTGTGCTGGTCTCATGTACTATATCGAGCCCGTGGCACGTGTAAGTGAAGTGTAAGAGATAATAATAGGCCAAGTGTTGATACATGATGGTGTTATGTAGGCGTTTGAGTTAGATTCGGCGCTAGGGGCTCCCCGAATGGGGGGCTTGCAGACTACGTAGCCAATATTTGTGGAACTAAACAACGGAAGATTAGTTCCGCGTGTTAAAGAAGATGACTTTATGAGGGCCTAGCTCTAAAGCTCCACTGTCAGCGGATAACTCTGGTTGGGGCACACAAATGGGAGGCTTCACTTGTTGAAATAGCACGGAGGAATCCTCCGCAGGTTGGCTTTTTTTCTCCAGTACATTGAGGATTTAGTGGCATGAACAATGACTTCTTCAGCTCTCTGCCTGTTGTTCACTGCAGTACTGCTTATATTTCAAGCTAAGAAGCATTTGAGTTGTAAGTTCATGCCTCCTACCGTGCAGCTGATGTTCTGACTTGCTGCTAACCACCTGATCTACTCATTTGATGAGTGAATTCCTTTAATAGCAACTACTTGGCCGAACTTCGACCAAAATTCACGAATTCCACGTATTTGGCACTGCCGAACCTTAAATTTCAAGCCAAATTGACAGTTTCGATGCGTAGAGGTGCGAGCTAAATCTGACGGGCGTAGGAATTCACCCCTCTTCCAAGTTGTAGTATCGGCTAGGGATATGGACGCATACATAAGATGGAAGTACTCTAAGCGTGCGACTTCAAAACCGAGTCAGCTACTGGAGCGCAAGTTATGTACCAGATATTGAGGCAACAACATGGAAAAGCATCAGGCTCCCTAATAAAAAGACAGTTGGAGAAGGCAAATCGTTTGTTGAGAAGGAGAACAGGGGTCCTTCCAGTCTCCTCTCTGCCTTGTGGAGCTCTTCACCAGTTGTTAGTAGGAGTTTAGCACGGGATGCACCACAGAAATATGGACGTGCACGCATGTATATATGCCAAGGCCCGTATATATACGCCAAGGCCCGTATATATACGCCAAGGCCCGTCTGTCCAGGAAAGTTGAACGTTTGACACTCCAGTGTCGACACTAATTACTGTAGGTGATGTCCAGCCTACAACACTTGCTCTTGTTGACCGATTGAGGTAAAGGACTCCTGTTGTGTACTAGTAAGGCTCCAAGGTGGCTCCCTTTCCGCTAGCAGCGCCGCCTACTGCCTCAAAAGGCTCATCAATAAAATCTACTAGGATCAATACATAATTAAGGTCAACTCAGAAGGCACAATATAATGCACAGCACCTGCTGCTGCGATTACGCTGCTGCCTGCACCCCCGAGTTGGGGCCTATGATAGCCGTCTGCCTTCGGCGCATTTCCTTGAAACAGTAGTCCTATCACGAAATGCAGTTATTTATAGTTTTTTCCAAATCCCCCCACTCGGGGTTCTCGCCTCCTAGGCCCTGTGGGGAGAAGGCCTGCACCGGTGCCGGCGCTATCGCCAGCGCCAATCTACACGTATTTACAGGCACGTCTAGTGTACGCATGCTAATTCGCCGACA